TTTTAGGAATTTCGTTGTCTTTATTTATAATGAGAAAATTATTTATCAAAATATTTAATTCAATTTGTTTTTATTTTTGGATAGCTTCATGGATAATCAACATTGTGACAATGAACGCGCAAGACCACACGAGCCGCCAAAGCTTTTGGTGAATTGAATCTCAAACGCGATAACGAAAGCTCTCTAATGACTTAAGTTACTGCATGATTGTTTCATAATTTTAGTAAAACTAATTTTTTCTAATTTTAAATATATTTTCCCTGAATTCGTGATTATTCGTCGTCAAGCGTGGACTAAATGCGTGACAAATTTAAGATCACGCATGTGTTTCTGCCAAATGCGTGTTACATCCAAAATCACTTTGAAGCGGGACCGTCCCGCACGATGCGCGAGAAGCGGTTGGTAATGCGTTTTGTAAGCCAGGACCCAATAGTATTTTGTTACGTTTCTTCACAGAGGGGAGTTTGTCCGAACCCCCCCCCCCCCCTTGCTGGATCCGCCACTGCTTTCCATTGACACCAATCATGACCATGTTTTATGTGGTGCGTCAGCCATCTTGAAATTCAAAATGGCGCCGATGACTTTGGGAAAATAATGGCACCTAACTATTTTGAATTCAGCGCAGTAAAAATGATAAAATTAGTCAATAAAATCTATTTTTGTTCAAAAATCTATCTGGATTACATAGAAAACTAGCTTATATACTCGTTCTTATTTTATGTACATTTCAAGTAAGTATATTTTTCGATTATTTTTAAACAAATAAACACCTATTTTTTAATTATGTTCCATTCTGGCTTGAGTGACAGTAGTTTTTATATGTCTAGTTTGTTGCCTGTCTAGAAATTATGAGTTTAGACAGCAAAATCATATCTGTAGCTTATTTAGTTTCAATTTTATAATAATAAATAAAAGTAAAAACGGCCGCTATTTGTATACAAGGAGTAAAATCAAGTGTCAACAGGGCTTAGGGTGACCAGAAGGAAATAATTAGGATATCTGGCTATGTGGATTGCTTCTAACATTCCACTCCCCCTAACTCATTTTTTGTTCAGATTTTTTTTCTAGTCTATGCGGAATCGTGAAACAATACATCAAGGTCAATATTCCAAGATGATTGTTCTTTATTTTCGGTAAATTTAAGTTTCATTTTTTCATGTCGTTCCTTGGCCACATTTTATGTCTAATAGCTAATTCACATGCATTTGCCAAAATTGATGTGACCGTTGAAATTATATTCGATATCGTTTTTTTTTTTCAATTGGTGAATAAAGAAACAAGAAAACAATTTTTTAGATTTTCATCAGCTAGTACCTGGTCAGAAAAAAATGAAATGCAATATGTATATTTATTTGTGAAAGTTGTGGAATAAAGAATTTGAATTAAAAAACTGAAATGAGGATGGTGGAACTGACCTTCCCACAGTGTGAAACTTAACAACTTACCCATAAACGCGCGTGTTTTGTTCGCGTATGTTTTAACACACTGTCATCTTGTAAGACCTTAGCAACAATATCCAAGGGGCGGGGCTTAGCGGAAGGGTCCATATAAGGCATCTTAACCCCATGTCCACTACAAATTGAGAACAGTGGTCGTCAACGTCAACCAGTAGCCCAAACAGACACAAGAGGAACAAGAAGGTGCCTACCCAAGCATTCGCAGTTATTATCTTCTTGCCACCAGAAGATCCGATGACTAACTTGACATCACCATTTTCATCGAGGAGTATGCTGCCACTCATGGATGATAGAGGATGTTTGTAAGGTGCTGGATAGTTGGCTGGATTTGATGGTTGATTTTCATCCTCCGTATTAGGAATTGTGAAGTCTGCCATTTCATTGTTGTATATAAGGCCTGTTGTGGGCGACATGATTTTGCAACCAAAGCTAAATTTAAAAAATCTAACGTCAAAAATTCATTTACCGTAATTACCACGTGCATTAGCTATGGGCAACTACTCGATTTTCACCAATTTTACTAAATTATGTAGAAGTTTTGTTCGTTCACCGCTTATGGTTAATGTTGGACTGGGTAAAATGTACTGTACTTTACACATTGGCAATTTGACAAATACTGTAGATGAAATATATCATAAATATGTTCAATGCTCACATTAGTCATGTTCAATATGATTTATGACATAATAACTTGTTTTAACTTGAAGACCATGTGAATGCCTAAAAACTCTGGAATAAAAATTTGACTTTTATTTACGTATATAGAAAGTTATTTCTTCAATTGAGAATTTGATACAAGGAGACTTTATTCCTCCTACTACTTTAGAAAAGTATAAGTAAAACTATAATAATTATAATGATGATATATTTGACTATGACCAACCAATGTTAAATGATTACTTTACTTACTACCAGTTAACAGTGGTCGTAACCGAAACAGCATCTCCGTTCGCAGCCAAAACACTCACATGACTCGTGTCTCCCAATTTATCGTTAGTGTCATCATGTCTGGTACTATAGTAACTTGCATTTGCGTAACTGACCATATCGTCGCTTATGGTGTCCCGTATCTTACGAGCATAGTTCTCAGATGCCAAATTATTCAAGACCTTTAACGAACATATTGTGAGCTTCAGTGACTTTTTCACATTTTAAGTTTGTAGGTCTATGTTACCTACACACAGAACCAATCATGAACACAGACCATGAGCGCAGATCATGGGTGGGGGAGGGGGAACAGGGGCACGATTCCCACTTATTTTTTATTTAATTTTCTGTTAGGTTGTTTTTTTGTTTGTTTTTTTTTAATTTTTGTTTAATTTTTTTTTTTTTTTTTTTTGCAAGGACTCCATTGGAAATAAGTCGTTTTTATACAACTTTCGTGGGCTATCCTAGTATACCATGGTTTACAACATCGCATTTTATTGAGTTTAATTTTAATCTTTTCACCTATTTTAAAGTAGGTTTTAACTTTAAGAAAAACTTTGTTATTTGCTATTTATTGTTATGATGTTGCGGGATACTGAATAAAGTCAACAAGTTGTTGAAATAAGCTGCATAAAATTATGACCCAGGTTTTAACGAAAAAGCGCTGTACAGCCTGAGTACACAGTACTGTAACTAGCAAGATATCGGTGACGCTTTTGTTATAATTTGAGAAGTATGAAAAGAATTATAAGATCAAAGGCAATTAAATTTTATTTTCTATTGTACAATACAAATTAATTAGATCTGTATGATAGCCGAAAATCGCTGATGGTGATGTTATGATGATGAAGTGTCATTTCCGGTCATACTGAGTACTATTGCCTCAAATTTTCGTACCTCAGCCTCATCTGTGGTGGGGCTGGGGTGTAAACACAATTTATTTTTTATGCTGGGGCGGATTCAGGGAGGTGCATACGGTGCGATCGCACCCCCTGAATTGTATTAAGAAATAAAATTGTTGTATTGTATTGTTGATATATTACAGTAGTTTCGTCGTTATGTGTTCTAAACACGTCAAGATCCTTAAGCACATTAAAATATATCTAAACACGTTTAGCTCTTAAACCTGTCACCAAGACAGGACAACATTGCTTGAAGATTTGCGTTTAAATCCTCCACGCTGTTTTTACAGTGTAGTTAAGTTAATTATAATCATTGCTTATTAGATAGACCGTCAATACCTGATTAACTTCAGGCGTGTCGACGTCTCCAAGATATGCCCTTAGACCGAACGCCAATTTACAGGTTTCAAGAAAACGATGGAAAAATTTGACTTTGTCTGCATCGGATGATATATCAATATCGAATCCTACAAACAAAATACAATTGAAATTGTTATAATATACGCCGTACATGTGCTCATGTAGATCTATTTTTACTAAAGATTAATAGGCATGTTTTATAAAATTATGACATCACCTGTTTGCTAATATCATTAGGGCATATAATTAACCATACCTGTGTTTTCCCTGGCTATACAGTCTTTTTGAATTCACCGTAGATGCTGGGCCGCGAGTTTTCATTGTCGGCAAACTTAATAAATTGCCTACATAATATAGTCTCATGTTTTCCCGTGGATTTTCACAAGCGTTGCGCATTTGATATTATAGTTTTTGAATTTTGTTATTAATTTAATTTAGTGTGCACAGTAATTCAAGACGTTGAGTAACAAATGATGGATTCATCCTCTGTTATATTGAGTTAAACGAGCATCTCTTACCTTTCATTACATTGATAATAAATTGGTAGATCGGTCCCCCAGATGGCATACTAGGGGACATCACTGAGTAACCCATGAATGATGTCGTCAAAACATCGGACCACTTCACTGAATAGTTGCTTAAGTCCGCCATTGACAAGGTTCCATCTGTGTAATAAATAATATCTAAATAACAGTAGTTGATATTATGTTGTGTAAGTGAAGATTCTCACACTGGTTTCCGAAACCAAATTTCGCCCAGCTGTATACAACGAAATGAGTAGAAATATGGAAATTTTGTAAAAATCGATAGAGATTCAGAAAAAAAAACATTTTTTCTTTGTGTTTTCCATGTGTGGAAGGGGGCAGATCCAAAATGTTCAAACGGGGGTGGGGGGCACAACAGTTTCGGAATAAATAAGGTGAGTAGCACATAACATTGATATGCAATGAAATTTTTAAAATTTAGTGGCAAAACGGGGGAGGGGCACGTGCCTCGTCTGGGTCAGCGCCTGCCCTTGTGTGTGAGTCGTCTATAGCTTTACCTTGTACATTTCGTTGTAGTTTTTTTGTGCTTTAATGTATCTAAGCTCAAATGATTTCAATTTTGTATATGAATGCTTCAATTTAGTCTTGGCTGCTAAGGACTTTATTTTGTACTTTAAAAAAATTATTGAAATAATAGGGCGTACCAATACATAAACTAAGGCCTTGATCCTGTTCCTCTGTTTTAAAAATACTGGACCACACCTACTGTCAGTTCTACTCTTATTTCATTTCATTTTATTCAGGAATTACAATCAAAAACATTTCTTAGATACAAAGCAAAAACTAAGAAAGACCCCAAAAATTGTTTAAAATATAAAACCTTATTTCCAGTGAGGCCCTTTAACAATAAAAAAAAAAATCCACGTAAAATGAACATTAAACAATTAAATTAAATTAATTAAACAACTAAAATGCCTTGATCAAATAAATAACTAAAATGCCTTGATCAAATAAACGAGGGAGAGACTGAATTCACATTCAGTCATTATAGTCCATTGTGATTGACTGACTGACTGACTGATTGATTGATTGATTGATTGATTGATTGATTGATTGATTGATTGATTGGTTGAATGATTGATGGGCTGATTGATCGAATAACAGATTGGTGGATGGCATTAAATCGAGAAACTCACTGTAAGTGTTCATGTCTTGCATAATCATATCCGCTGTATGTCCAGTATAAAATTCTGACACACCGATATTAGCGATACGTTGCAAAGTGTCGGCAAAGTTGCTGCGAATAACAATGTCGCCATATTCTTTAGGATGGGTCCCATTATCCTTGAAGTACACGTCTCTCCAAGCACTGAGGCAGAAATAATAATAAAATGTTTTTATTAGGACTATAATAGAAATATTGATATTAGAATAAAAATAATAATGATGATTATTTCTTGAAGCTTAATGAAATTTTTAATGGGATGATAACTCCAATTATATTGTCGGTAATATTATTCTATTTCTTTTCCGTCGTTGCCTACTGACAATACCGGAAACACAATCACAATACAGATTTCAACAATTATATAGGCCAAATTTAGGAGTGTGAACCTAGACCACTGAAATACTTACTCAGACACGAAGCCACTGGCTACTAGGCTGTTCAGAGTCAATACCGTGTGGTTGGTAACACGGAAACCTTTTCGTGCCAATGCAATAACCGGTTGGAACAATTCCTTCCAAGAAAGTTTACCATATTTCTGGTGGGCTTCCCACATTCCTTTAAGTTCCCCCGGTGTCCCTATAGCCAAGGCACCTATGAATTGAGTTCTTTTGATGAATGTGCTGTATAATTTATTAGCTAGTTAATCATTACAATTTCTTAACTGTATAGCTTAGACATTGTTTCAACAATGTCATGTTCGATACTGTAAACTTTTTAAACTTCAATAAGGCATGCACCGATTAAACCCCAATTTTTTTTTTTTTCTCAACCCACACGTCACTGACTAAGCTGCTTACCTTCCAAATGTACGTACGTCACCTACTCAACCCAGACCCTTCCCGCTGCACTTCTCTCTTTCCAGTGTTGGTACATCAATGGACAACCCCTCCCAATCCCAAGAGACGTAGATTTACGTCAGTGAATCAATCCCTCTTCGTCAAAATTCACATACCGATAACTGAACGAATCAACGCTTTATTATACTGACGCACATTCACGCAAGTGCATCAACCCCTTCCACTTTGCTGTAAGAGTACCCTCGTAAAAGAAAGTTGAGTAAATAAATATTAAATAAATTTCATAAGAACCTACGTATATCTTATATCTTACGTAATCTCACCGTATACTTTAGTTTTGGGATCGCTGTTAAACATATCAGGTGTGGTAGCTGCGGGTGAAGTTTCTCTGGCATTTATGAACTTCGTCCCTTTAGCTTTCCTATCATAAATAAGCCAAAAAGAACCGCCACCAATTCCAGACGACTGGCCGTGCACTAATCCAACGCACAGCATCGACGTTATAGCGGAGTCGACAGCAGATCCTCCGCCTTGCAGAATCGAACTGTAACAAGGTTTGTTAATTATTGGTGAGCTGTTTTGATATTTGTGATCCAAATATTATAAATTGTAATTTGAAATGTATGACACTACTACTATTAGATAACAATAAATAAATAAATAAATAAATAAATGTATAAAGAAAGGAATGAATGAATGAATGGATAGATGGATGGACGAATGAATGAATGAATGAGTGAATGAATGAAGAAATGAAGAAAGAAATAAAGAAATAATAAATAAATAAACAAACAGACAAAACAAGCAAATAAATAAATAAAACCACCCCCAATTTTCAGGTCCAAGAAGTTGTTTCAAATTGGATGGTGAATTGTGGAGGGGATTTTCTTTATCTCTTTGCTATGTTAACAAGCTTAGTCATTAGAACATTTTAAAGATAAATTTACATTTCATTGACCATATTGATAGGATATATGCGTAAAAAATTTAATCATGGCTTGAGAACTTTATTTAGGCATATATTTAATTCCAATGAACATATGTTGCTTTCTTTCTATAGATCTGTAATAATAATGTAGTGTTTGGAGTTTGGACGTATATTGCCTTCCTTTTGGGCTGGTAATGCTGCCGGCCGGATAAAGGACGCCTTGAAACGTGTGTTGCGTCGTATTTTGTAATAATTGTCATATTTTGTAATACCTGTCGTATTTTGTAATAAACCATGTCGTATTTTGTAATACCTGTCGTATTTTGTAATAAACCTTGTCGTATTTTGTAATAACAGAGCTGTCGTATTTTGTAATAACTCTCCGTCGTATTTTGTAATAAACTGAGCTGTCGTATTTTGTAATATAGTCGATCGTATAATAACACATCAAATGCATGTTTTCTACTATACCTTTGCAGTTTTTGAGGGATTAAATAAAAACTTGTGTTAATGGTTGTTTGGTGTGATTATTAGATTAGATAGACCATGACAAGTTATTCTGAAAGTTTCATTTAGATCCACTGATAAGTTTTTTAGAGATATTTAGGTCTGGGACCTTAGCAATTTAAATGACCCTGAAATTCACACCCGAATCGGGACTGTCACTAAGATTTATAAAATAGAGTACTTTCTTGTAAAATGATAACCCTCATGTCCACACCCTACTCCGGATCGTCACCAAAGTTTTATCATTTCTCTAGTGGACCATGCCATTCTGTAAAGTTTTATTTTGATTTACAGTTTTTTGAGATGTTTAGGTCTGGGATGTTAGCACTTAGAATGACCCCAAACTTCACCTGATTCTGTATCGTCACCCTAGTACTCCGGATCGTCACCAAAATTTAATCATTTCTTTATTAGACCATGACAAACTATTATAGAAAGTTTCATTTAGATACATTGATATGTTTTTGGAGATATTTAGGTGTAGGACGTTGGAACTTTAAATGACCCTCAAATTCACACCAAACCTGGATGGTCACCAACATTTAATAATTTCTTCCAGGGAACTTAATTAAACCTTCCGGGAAGTTTCATTCAGATCACTTTATCCGTTTTGGAAATATCTGGTCTTAGACGTGTCCCTTTGAGCGGTTGCATATCCCCACCCTACTCCGGATCGTCACCAAAATTTAATCAATTTCTTTATTGGATCATGACAAACTATAAAAGTTTCATTTAGATCATTTGATATTGGAGATATTTAAGTATAGGACGTTGAAACTTTAAATGACCCTCAAATTCACACCAAAACCTGGATGGTTACCAACATTTAATAATTGATTCCCTGTAATATGGTTAAACTTTCCCGAAAGTTTCATTCAGATCAGTTGACCCTGTTTTTGAAATAGCTGGTGTAGATTTTACCCCTTAGTCTCTTTAATTGATCCTCAAATCCACTCCCCGGAAAAACCCGGTGCAAAAAGATAGGGAAAATGATATGGAAGAAAAAAGAAAAAAAAAACCAAAACATTGACTTATCCGGCTACCGCTGGGAAAAGTCAATAATGATATTGATGATAATAATTTTATTTTACTTAATACATTTTTTATACATCATTTGATGACTATTTTATAAATATTTTATCTACTGTATGTAATGGCGAGCAAAGTGTTTCCATTAGTGGAATAATAATTAAATTATCTTATCTTACATCAGTACATCATGCCTACCTTCCCATTTCAGAACACTCGGGAACGTCAGTCGCAACAGCGGCCTTCCTAAACTGACCGTTTTCAACATTCTCTTTTTTCGTCAGGCTAAACACTAACACCAAAGTAACAACTATGATGACCAATAGCAACACCATCAAGACGATGATCTTCACACGCGATTGTTTCTTCTCATTTTTTCTGCAATAAAAAATCAATAAGATTGAATACCGTATTACAGTATGGTCTACCGAAATTTTAGTCAGCAAATACCCGGATTTTTGGGATGTAACCGTTTTATTTGAATGTCTCAAGTTTAAAGAAATTAAAGAATCGTGGATCTTGGAACGCTGACATAGAAATAAATTCACAATTACTAATCTACAAGGGCGGGGGGGAGGGGGCTCTCGAACGCATGTAATTTGTACCGAAACGTCCGGTTTTACTAAAATCACTGATTTTTTTTTCAGAGGTTTCTCCTTGTAACTTTACTACTCGTCCGATTTCGCTGTTTTTCAATGTCGGAAATTATTAAGACAGTGATCTTAAGCAGACGTGATTGTTTCTTCACATTTTTCTGCAGTAAAATGATACATTAATCGTGGCAATTTCCAGGAACTATTAATACAAACAGGAACTAAAGCAGTCACTTCATAGAGGGTAAACCTCCGTCATGTGCCTGAATACAGTATTATACGCAGGCCGTTTATAATGAGCGAAACTGCAGTCTACCCTCAAATAAATACTGAAATTGTCCACCGTATTGTGGAACATTGGGCTTATTCGACTGATTCATTTTGTTGACTACGATTTTTCGTTGAGCACTATTTTCATTCGACTGGTTCGTAAAATAGACTTCGTTGACAACGGAAAATTAACGTTAACCAGAGTACGTTAATCAGCGTTTAAGTTATCCACGTGACCAAAACAAACATGGCTGATTGGTCAGTTTAGCAAC